CCTTGTATAAATTAGAAAATGAAAGCTGAAGGAGTTGACCTAACTCTGGTTTTCAAAAGTAATGAGCAGTTGTGGAATCTAAACTCTGGCGGTTGGACTCTGAGGTTCTTGAAGATTATATATACACATATACATATATATATATGTGTATGTAAATCAGATAGATATATAGATGGGCTAGGCCTCTAGAGCTCCCTGTATTGGATAGAAAACAAATACAGATGTGTGTGTATTGATTATCTTTCTCCTTTGAGCAGCTATTATATCCAAACTTCTACAGAGTACAGATAAAGGAATTTGAGAGACCTAGTCGGTCAAGAGTTGCACTGTCAAACCAGAAGCAGGCAGTTTGAACCTATGAGCTGCTCCAAGAGAGAAAGGTGGATGGAGAGTCTCTTCCAATTTGTTCCACAGCCTCTGGTAAAACCTGCTGCAGGGCCAGCAATTAGCCTGTTCTGACTGTGGCAATATGTGTTTGCGTTATCAAGGGGCAGGTTGGCGGGAGGAGGTGAGGAACCACCTGAGGTTAATAGATAGCAGCCTTTAAGCCAATTTACAGCATATCAGAAAGGGATGGGGGGAGGGAAATTCTAGAAGGTGTTTAGGTTTGTGCAAAGGGCTGTTGGCACTGTAAGATAAATAATCTCCTCGTGAACTTTTTACAGTCTGGGAAGCCGGGTGGAAGGTCAGCTCCTGAGTAGTTTACAAATTGACAGCAATGGTGGGGAGGGAATAATTGAATACAAGGAGGTGTGATGAAACAGATAATGCAATCAATAGTTTGAGAAAGGGGAAGAAGAATCACCCATAAAAGACTATTGAATTTGAAAGATATATGTACAAGGCTGAAAAGTAGAATTCACTGACGTACACATTAGAAAGGGCTCAGTCCTTAAAGAATTATAGAGCATTAAAGGCACACCACCATTCCAAAAAGGGAATATCTTCTTGACATGCACTTAGATAGGTATAAGCTTAGGTCATGCAGGGGTCACATGCATGGCACCTGAAAGCACGTAACAGAGTTACAGGCTGTGAAGAGGGAACAGCTGGGTTCACCCAGGCTCCTGCTTAAGATTGGCTGTTGGACCTTGTGCTGCCTGCATTAACTGTAAGCAGCCCTGCTTGGTGTGAACTATCTCAGGGGGAAATGCTTTGATTCCATACATCATGTAAAGAAGGAAATGAAAGGGAGAGGGAAATACGTAAGTCTTCAGAGCTCATCTTGGAATCATTCAGTTAGTTTAAAACTGCTAAAAGTTTCCCTTCCTATTCCTAGGTCAAAGTGTCCTCATAATAGGTTAACAGAAAAGGAATGATGTTGTGATATTGTGAGCCTTATGTTGTGAGGGGCATGTCTCATCTGGTAAAGAATTTTAACCTGGTAAGGAGGTTGTAAGAGGAAAACAGACCACAGCCTGATAGGGAAGCCTCTCTTTAGATTCTAGACTAAAAGGACACTTCTCTTTTTTAAAATACTCTTAACAAAATTTTAAAAAGAAAATGCAAATACTACTAGAGAAATGTTCCTTTTCTGTTGCTTTCCTGTCTGTTACAGTATTACTAAGTGAAAGGTTGGTGGTTCAAACACATCCAAGGGTATCTCAAATGAAAGGCTTGAGAATCTACTTTTGAAAAGTCAGGACTGTGACAGTGGTTGAGGGAAACTAAGAAAAGGGGATAAATAATGAACTCTGCATTGGAGCAGATGAAGGAAAGAACTGTTTAAAAAGAATATATGATTAGGCATTGTTTTCATGACAAAAGTCCAGAATAAGAGGTGGACTGGGGTGGGGCAATGGAGGAAATTATGCAACAATAAATATTTTTTTTAAAAAAAACCTAAATGAACTTGGAGTGGGTAAGGAGGAAAATATGCAACAGTAAATGAATGGAAACCCAAGTTTTTGGTAAACTTCCGTTAAAATCACAATACGAAATTATTATTTAAAAATAAAAAGTCTAAAACTTGTGTGGAAGGCAAGAGCTCTGGCGACTTAGTCTGTGGAGTGTTGTACAGTTCACTAAAATACTGCTAATCCTTGGTAGTTCAAACCCATCAGCAGGTCCAATGAGAAAGATGGGGAGTCTTCTGTCAAATAATTACAGCCTCAGAAATACAAATTGGAATACATTAGGGGACAATGAGTTTAGAGTTTGAGCAGTTTTCACAAGTCAAACTTGACAAAAGTTGTTCGTATGTGTGTGTGGGTATATGTTGTATCAAATACCACATAGATTTGTTTTGTTTTGTTTTCTAATAGGCAAGGTTAAGTTTATTACGTTTAGGTACCATTGAGTAGAGGATGACTCATAACGACTCCTAGCAAAGAACAGCCAATCTGAACCCTGCCCTGTCCTGTGCCTTCCTCATCACTTTGCTATTATTCTTTTAAGGCACATTTGAATGTAGTAAGATAGGCAGTTGTTGTTGATTGCCATTGAGACAAACATGAGTCATAGTGACCATATGTACAAAAGACCTGAACTCTGTTCTAGAACTCTCGTCATTTCTGTAAGTTCATTAGAGTTTCAGAGGCATGTTGTTTAGGAAGTTGATGCCACTCCTGCTTCCAAAGATAGGCAGCAGTTTGACTCAAATAACTCTAAGTAGAAAAATAGAATGAACTGAAAAAGAATGTTTTATGGGGTTTTATTGTTGATGATGATCTACTGGGTTTGTTGTTTGTTTGTTTTTTTTTTTACATGTTTAAAAATACTTTTCTTTTATACTAATTTATTTACAAAGTTCGAATACATTGTTTTTCACACAAGATCCTTCCCATTTCCTTCACCCTCCCTAAAAAGCATGCATTATTTGATGATGATGCCGCCATCAAGTCTGAACTGACGAGTAGCTGAAAACTCCAGTTTTAAGAGGCTGTAAATCACATGGAAGGAGCTTCTCCATCTTTCTCTCATGGATTAACTGGTAGATTTGAACTGCCTGCATTTGAATTGGTGCCACAACTCCTTACCCACTAGTCTACCAGACTTGTACCTTTTAGTTGAGTTGTTAATTGCCACCGAATCAAATAGGATTCACAGCAAACCTATGGGTGACAATTGTAAGCCTTTGCTTTTTCTGCACCAACCTTCCCAGCTCTTACCATGCTCAAGCCCCCATATGGTAGCCATCAAGTCAGTGCATCTCCTTGAGGATCTTGCCCTCTTTCACTGACCTTTCCCAGCACGATGTCTCTGTAAGGACTGAATAAAATTAGTAATGAAAAAAACAACATTGCTAGCAAACCCAAAGGGCTTTTCCCCCCAGACGTCTCAAATGCAAGTTAAAATCTTATTGCCTCTTTTCTTTCAAAGTTGTTTCTTTCCCCGTGCTGAAAGATTGATCCCCCCTCTTTGAAATACTCACATGAGAAAAATTGCCCATGATCTTTCTTTCACTGCTTTATTGATTCTATGTTCTCGATATTTTTAAATTGTTCCCTCCTCTCCATCAGAGCCATCTCTGTAAGCACTGTCTTTGTTGAAGCTGCCACCTTTTTCTTAAATGAATAGCCCTCTTTCTCACTTTCTTAATGCATTTCATCCTCCTCCCACTTCAGTCCATCTTTCACCATAAAAACCCAGCCTGCCTGCAAGATCTAAATTTCATTATTCATCAATATTAAGTTAAAACCCTTTGAAGTAGATGACATGACTTAAAATCCGTCTCCGTCTCCCATTCACCTCTCCTGCCTCCATCCCTGTTTGTTTTTTTATAGCTACCTTACACTTCAAATTATTTTCAATTCATTAAAAGTAGCAGTTGTTTTACACTTTCACATCTTTGTATATAATATTCCCTGAAATAGCCTTTCTTGCAGAATTATTAATTCTTAAAGACAATCCAGGTATTACCATTTCTTTTAACTCTTTTTAATTTTAGGCTGGATAAACATTTGTGGTGCATATTCATTTTCTGTTAGATAATTCATACACATATTTCATTATATAGATTTTCATCCTTCTCAATTGGTTCCCTATTTTGTTTGAAAACATGTTCCCTATTTTGAATTATCCATCTATCTTCCCTTTCCTGCCTTCTCCATTGTTTCTGGGCAAATGCTACTTTTTTTGTCTCCTAGGACTGATGTATCATTGTAAGGCATATACTCCTTCCTGATGTTGTTATTCTTTTCACAGGGCTGTTGTTGGGCTGAAAAGTGAACCATAGGGGTGTGTTCAGGTCCATAGTTGAAGGGTATCGAAGGGTCACAGTCTCGGGGGTTCCACCAGTCTCTAAAACCAAAACGTCTGGGGGTTTTAAAATTTTGTTCAACTTTTTCTTTACTCCCTCTCTGTTCAAGATTTTTTGCTATAGGACTTAAGCTAAGTACATGGAAACTTATTCCCATTGGCCAACACTGGATCTGCCATGGTATAGGGTCTCATTGAAAGTCTGAGATAAACATAAATAGTATGACTTACACAGAAACTTCCTTTGGCCCCAGCTCTTCCAGAAGGCTCTCTGAACATGCTTTCTGTATACACTATTCCAGATAATAAGATTAATTTCGGAAACACAACAAATAAGCCACTGGTGTAATGACATGATTCAATAAGGCCTACCTATTGAGATGGTGATTTCTTCAAAAAACAGTGGAATGTTTTGGTGGTCTGACAAACTGGACTATGGGAAGAGGAAAAAAAGGCTAAAGATAGTGACTTTTCAGTACTTTTATCCAAGACTAACCTATATCTAAATTTTATTTTGGCATAAATTTTTATTTTAGCATAAATCTCAGTTTGATTTATACCTGATGTAAATCTTATTTTTCTAGAAACAAAAGCCTCTATGGAGTATTTTTTTTTTTAGCCAAATCTGTATATAACAGTGTGTACAACATAGAAGGTACGATTGACTTCCCTGGCCCCGGTGTTGTTGAGCTAGGTGACGAGAGTGAGTCTGTGGAATAAGCTGAGGTAGCATCAAATGGTGTTTTGGCACTTGCTTGTGGTTCTCACCAAATCACCATATTTCTCTTGCTTTGTTACAGAAACTCCACTTACTGTATGAAGGTGTCCATTTCGCTGACAGTGGGTGAAAATGATACCGGACTGTGCTACAATTCTAAGATGAAGTACTTCGAGAAAGCTGAACTTAGCAAAAGCAAAGAAATTTCATGCCGTGACATAGAAGATTTTTTACTACCAACCAGAGAACCTGAAATCCTTTGGTACAAGGTAAGAACCGTGGATACTTTGATTGCCTATGGATAAATTAATGTGTATTTTACTCTGAAGTGAAATGAGATGGGTTTTTTTTTTAGAGTGGCTGTTATATACAACTCAGACCTTCCTTCGTAAAACGCTGCAGCAAGTTGTGGTGGTCATTAAACTCTCTAAACCATTGACCATGAATTTTAATTAATACGTATATCGTGATAAGCTTTGTTTATATTGACAACTCTCTCAAGTCTGTTATCATCTGGATTGATAAATACAGGATCTAAAGGTTATATTACACATTTACTTGAAAGGTTTTGGCACCAGCAGTCCAAAATGTCCCCATAGAAAAAGAGAAAGGATTGTTTTGCCCCTTCTGTATATGGTAGACAGATTCTTATTTGAATATCCTGTTAATGTCTGGAACTTTGTTCCTACTCGAGTCCTTTTCCATATAAGCCCACATACTAGAGAATTGATAACTGATGAACATTGACTCTCACTCAATTTACAGTAGTAGAAACATAATGGTTTGTCCATAAACCACAAGCAATTTTGAACTTGAAAGAATAACCCAACTTTGATTCTTGCCCATCACATCATTAACTTTGACTAGAATTCTAGACTTATATACACTTGCATTTATCGCACAAATGAAAGAAAATTTTGTTCTTGAAAGTGCTCAAGAATCTATAGTATAGACATTGTTGCTATGTTAATATTATGACTGTCTCTGCAGAATATTTATTTGGTTTAAAGAGTCCTAAAAAATGTTTGCTCTCTGGTAGCATACCTAAATAAAGGCCAGCAGTTCAAATCCAGTAAGCTGTTCTGCAGGAGGTAGAAGGGAGGTACCTTCCCTCTAAGATTTACAGCCTCAAATAACCCGTGGAGAATTGCCATGAGCTGGGATCTGCTTGATTGGCAGTTAAAGTGCTTTGTCTAACCCTCTGGAATTGGAATTTAGGAAACCACTTCCCAGTAGCTCGATCCATACATGTCAGAGTACATAGTGGGAGCCTTCATGATGGAGTGATCAGAAACACAAAGCCTGTTAAAAATGAGATAAGAAACTAATCCATTGCAATTATTGGGAGGATTTTTGCCAAAATAAGCAATGCCCCTCTCGAAGACTTAACTTTGACTCTTGATAACAACAATGGTGGGTTTAGAACAACAAAAAAGTTTAAAAGGGTTTTTGGTTTTTTCCTCCCTTGCCATTGGTTTTCTACCCAACACAGGCATCACTTGGAGATACTGCAAGTTCTGTTGCAGACCACAGCAATCAAGTGCACACCACCATATAAAGACTCACACAGATATTTCAAGGGGTAGTTTTCCCAGCACATATAAAAGTGATGTTTATGCTAACCTGTAGTCTATTAGTTGGGTAATAGCAGTGAATTTTTTTAACGTTTCAAATGTGCAGCTTGATTAGACAGTAAATATGAGGATGATCCCGATGTGACACAGAGACACACAGTGAGCACAAGCTGTGGGAAGAAAATGTCTTAGAGACTTTGACAGTGCAAGGTTGCCGCAAGACTCAAGCAAGGCTTGAGTCTGGGAAACATGTGGTAGATGCAAAACGTACAAAAAGAACTGTCCAGTAAAACACGCTATGTTTGTATTAAAAACACTCAGATAGTAACTTTACTAGTTTCCTTTCCTGGGGTGACGAGTTTCCTGTGTGCTTCCCGCCCCCTCCCATTTTAAAAATTGTTTCCATGTTTCCCACCTTTATTGCTCCATGACTGTGTATCTTGCAAATGTAGACTCTGAGTTAGCCCTGATGGCTGTTCAAATGAAGGACAGATGAAGGGAATTTGCCCCAGCATCTTAAAGGACAAATGCTTTTTCTTGTACCCTTGTGTGCCATTTCTCATTTTTGCAAACAGGATCTCAAAAATGTATGCAAGATGAGAGATTAAATACACAAACACACACGCACACATTTTCTCCCTTTGTCTCTCACAACTTTAGAGAATAGCTGCTTTCCCATTGCTCCTTAAGATGGTTCCACAGTCATTTTGAATTTAGGTTTTGGTATGTGTCTTTGATTTCTCAGACTCCCCCCACCCCACCCCACAGAGTCAGGGCTTACCCTATCAATTCTACCTAGATGAGGTTTAAAGACTATAAACAATAAACGTCAAGCTAAGTATACCTATTGTATATTCAGTTCATAGTATTTTCTAAGTTCTGATACTTTTATTTACTCTGAATTTTTATCTAATCTAAATGACATAGTGATTATGCAGACATACACAATCTTCAAAATATCACTATCAGAATCCTTTAACAAGCGATGATGTATTTCTCCTACTACAAAGCACACAAAATGCCTATTTTATTTTTTTTTGTCTGTAATAACTGGAAAGCTTCAATCCTGACTAGACAAAAGCATTGAGCCACATAAACAAAAGAATAGTCTGAAAAAATGTCATTTGGCAATAAGATTTTTTAGGTATCATATGACAGATACAAAGTGTCAATGGTTTTAGAGAGATTTTATCCTCAGTCTATTGATCTGAAATTTGGCTTGATGAAATGGACTTGTGTTTTGGCAAAAACAGAAATCTCCTGAGCCAACATCATTATAACTCAAAGCTTAATTCAGAGACCGTAATTGGGTAGGCCCATCACCAACAATGAAAGAGGTATTTATAGGACAGTAAAGACCTGGCATATAAATGTAGCCTTTTAAGTGGATTATAGAATGCAAATGCTATGAAGCAATTGAGTGATTTCTAAATGCAGTATTAATAGATTTCAAATATTGAAATGGGAAAATTCTCCTCTGAAGAATTAACTGAGTTGATTTAAGGGGTTTGGTTTTGGTTTTGTTTGTTATTTTTCACTAAAATGCATTGTACTATACATACCAGTAATGAGATGTAGTTGTTACGTACCATTAAGTCTATACCTACTGATAATTTTCCAGTGGGTTTTCAGAGGCAGTAAATCACACGGGAGGAATAACAAGATGGTGAATTCCAAAAATCATCAAATGTGTTTACTTCTAAAAACAATGCCACAATTAATCTTAACATAAGTCCCCGTTCTTAGATGAAGAATATGCTTAACAGATTTAGGGACAATGGTCATAGATATAAATAAACTTGTTAAAAATGCTCTTTTCCAATTCTAATGATATATATACCTGGTTTCATTAATAATTTAAAGAAAAAATGACAACCTTGAAGAATAATTTTAAACTCCTTCATCCTTTTAGAATAAAAATTTAGGGAAGCTCTGGCAACCTAATGGTGAGAAGCTGTGTTGCAATCCTGAGTGCACACAGTTTGAATCCACCAGCTACTCCATGGGAGAAGGATGGGCAATCTCCTCCCATGAATTAACTGCCTCTGAAAACCCACCAGAGGGTCAGCTATAGTTTGGTTTTAGCTCTGTTGTACAACAACAACAACAACAGTCTTCCGGTTAAGCTCATTAAAATACCTTTTTACTTTGTATTTCAAAGACTATAAACATGACTCAAATTTAATGTGTTTTATATAGGAATGTAGGACAAAAACATGGAGGCCAAGCATTGTGTTCAAAAGAGATACTTTGCTTATTAGAGAAGTCCGAGAAGATGACATTGGAAATTACACCTGCGAATTAAAATATGGAGGCTTCGTTGTAAGAAGAACTACTGAATTGACAGTGACAGGTAAGAGCAATCGTCAGTATTTCATATATAATTAGTCAAAGTGGCTTTTAGACGTTACCTGTTGTGCTACATACTGATTGATTTTTTTTAAAAAAAACTTAATGCATTGAAAGAAGAACTCAACCAAATGCTAAACAGATGCCTATAGGTGAAATTTACTCCTCCTCACTTGTAAATCCTCTTAAGCGGAAATATATTTGGAAGGTGAAAGGGAATATGCTGAGGGAATTATAGAAATGTTAGCTCATGAAAGTGAAATAATGAGATTACCATTTCAGAAAATTATGCTTGTGTTTTGTAATGGTACCATTCTTTGAAGCAATTTTCTAGAGCAAAGGTATGGAATATATGAAGTCTTCTACCTCTATCTTTCTGCCTTGTCCCAAATAGAAAAAAAAATTACTTTTTTGTTTTATTCATTTATCATTCTATAAATCTGGCATATATGTTCTTGGGAGATTTATAATAACCATTTCTGAAATAATAAAAGCATTTTATTAGGTACAATGGTTATTTGGTTGTTGGGTGAAAGAAGATAAGAGTAGAAAATCATCTGTAATTATACAACTACTAATTACCTGACCTAGCTTGAGTTACCACAGTTTTCAGAATATTGCTTTTCTCATGCTTAAAATGATGATCATGGAATTTGCCATATTTATTTCCAAGTGTGTTGGTGAGAACTAAAGAAGGTAATACGTTCTCAGTCGATTTGCAAAAGATGAAATTGTTCTAAATGTCTGTTGGGGGTTGGGGTTGGGGTGGGGGTTGTGGGTTTTTTCTTCGTTTTTGTTTTTTTGGTGATTTTCATGTCAAGAAAAATCTCATTGATAACTTTAAAAAATTTTTGTTATTGAAAGTGGTACCATAAGAATAGAAAGCAACACAAAAGCTTTCTTCTTTTGCTCTTAAAGAGAGGGCCTTCTTGTGTGACTTTTATATGAACATGTTTGCCAAGCACATACAGAATTACATTAAAAAGATGACTGTTTTGCCTCAGAGGGAGTTCTGATGGCATAGCCCGTAGGGCATTGCACTGCTAACCAAAAGGTAGCCCGTCTCTATCAGTCCTAGTCTGTTACCCACTCCCTTGGAGAAAGATGGGCAATCGCCTTCCGTAAGATTTACAGCTTCTGAAAACCCACCGAAGGGTCAGCTGTGAGTGGATTCCAACTCGCTGACAGTGGTGATGGCGGTGGTGGTAGTGGTAGCTTTTGCCTTGTTATTGCTGTTGGTGTACCGTCGAGTTGGAACCCACCCATGGCTGACACTCTGGTAAGTTTTCAGAGGTAGTGAAGTGCATAATGTTGATTGTCCATCTTGTAGAGCAGCTGTTGGATTCAAACTGTGTGCCTTTAGGATGACAGCGCAGCTCCTTACCTTAGCTAAATCATATGAACAGAATATTTTATATTTACTTCATTTTCTTCTCTTGTAAATGAAACATTTAAAGAGATTCTTCACTGTCCATCAATTTAAATAAAACTTTTCTTTGTGAATATGAAATGCCACACATTCAAGTGTTTTGTAATAATCAGCTATTTTGTTTTAACTTTCTTAAACACTTTGGCTTACCCACTAGATCCTGATTCACGGAATTGGTGAATAGTAATTATTGCAACAGAAAGAATAGGTATTTAAACAGAGAAAGGGCTTTCTGCTAATGCCTTGGATAAATATCAGCTCAAGTCAACAACTGAAATGTAGAATATATACTTGAAAGGTTAACAAAAGGTCTGTATTTAGGTTGTATTACGTATCTGTTATAAGAATGTGTACAATTTAGTCCTTTAGTTTATTATATGGCTATGTAATAGGCTTCTTTATTTAAAATATAAACTAATCACATGTTACTTGTACTCCCTATAATTTTAATGGGCTAGTGAAATAATACAGATTTATCATTCTACTTTCAGGTTTCCTTTATAATATACAGTTAAAGTCTTAGATTTCTTTTTATCCTCACTTCATTAGATAGAATAAAAAGCAATTGGCTATGGAGTTCAAATTTTAAAATATAACAGAAAAGAGATATTTTATGAATAGAAAATAGAATGCATTTCTCATCTTTTCCCCTTTGCAATATAGAATTGATGTTTGGTAAATGTCTTAGTTACTTAGGGCTGCTGTAACAACCACCACCACCACAAAAGTAAATTCAAGTGTTGGGCTTTAAAAGAATAGGAATTTGATAGATTTTAGAGGCTAGGAGTTAAAAATCCAGACTTTTCTCTCTTGTTCACTCTGTATAGGCTCAGGATAGAGCGTTCACAGGGTGATCGTGATTTGTAGTCAACTAAATGACACCTAACAACAACAACAACAATAAGTCACAAATTATATATGTATATTTGTCTTTTTCTTTTTCTATGGCCCCGGGCATTTCTTGCTTCTAGATCTGTTTTCCCATTCCATTTGTCCCTTTGTGTGTCTCTGTGTGTGTGTGTGTCTGTGGGTGTGTCTGTGTATGTGTTTGTGTCTGTCCCTTTGTGTGTCTCTGGCTGTTTGCTCTTTGTATATGGTACCACTCTTCCTGTGAAGAAATGAACCCTGGTGGTGTACTGTGTAGCATGTTGGACCGCTAAGCATAAGGTCAGTGTTTTGAACCCACTAGGAACTCAACAGAAAGATGGGCTTTTCTCCTCCTGTAAAGGCTGTAAAGATTTACCGCCTTAAAAACCCAACAGAGGGCCTCTATGAGTCAGAACCCTCTGAAGTTCACTGGGTTTAAACAGTAACTTTTGTAAGTCTGTTTCTTCGAACCAAGACTTCTACAGTTACTACTGCTCACTGTCATTGAAATGCTGCCAATGCATAGTGATTCTCCATCAAGTTTGTGTAGAAGGGATTGCCCAGGAACCACTGGTGATTTTGAATTACAGGAGATTTTAGAACCAAGACTAGAACTTTCCTCCTCAGTGCTGTCAAGTTCTACTATACTTCCCTAAATGTTACTTCTTCAAAAATACCTCACCTCCTTTTCTTTCTGTGAAAAGAAGTTGTATTTTCTGACACCCGAGTGGAAGTTAGCGGAAAGTTGCATTCAACTGAGTATCATCAATATTTCTCGCTTGTTTAATCTTGTCTGCATGGCTCTCTGGTGGCCTAGTGGATATGGAGTTGTGCTGCCAGCTCAAAGGCAGGTAGTTCAAATCCTGAAGCTGCTCCACTGGAGAAACTTGCTGGATAGTCAGCTATGAGGAGGTTCGCAATCCAAGGTAACGAGTGAACGTTAATCTTACTTACATCGTTGAATTGGACGATAAGTGATTCGACAATGTTTGAGTGTGACCAAATATGTAAATAATGTGTAGATAAACGAGCTGTTGGAGCATAGAAGTTGTATGTATTAAAAGGAATTTTCGGGGTAAACAACAGATCTATTGACTACATTTATTTATGCACAGCATTGCTTTAAAGGATGTGGTTCTAGAACATGCTCCTTTTGCCTGTGGCCGAATGAAAGACAAGTCCTTAGAATCTGAATTGGATCTCTCCGCGCAGCAATAGTGGTGAGCAGTTCTCTGGATGGTAATGCATCATTTTACAGCACACAACAGCAACTACTAGACTAGGCACTATTTAGAGTCAAGTGCAACAGATTTTGTAAGAAGTTTTAATCTTAAAGCGTCTTAAGACTTCTTAGAAGATCTCCTGTCCTTCATTTCCTCTATAAGGACATCTCGCATTAATCCATTAACATGATATATGTGTTAAAATTAAGAAATTAGTATAAGCTCACTGTTAGTGATCAAAGTTAATATTTTACTCTGATTTCCTTCAGTCTTAGCCAATGTCCTTTTGCTGGTCCAGGATCCTATCTGGGAGTGTATAGTACCTTCTCTTGTCACGTCTCCTTACACTCCACTTGGTGGTGGTAGTTTCTCAGATTCACCTTGTTTTCAGTGTTCAGGTGTTTTATAGAATGCCCATCGGCTAGGATTTGTCTGATGTGTTTGTGATTAGACTGGGTGGTATGTGTTCTTGGGAGGCAAACCACAGGGGTGAAATGCTGTTCTTACCACAATATGTCACATGGTCACGTGGCGGAGGCAGAGTTTGTTAGGATTCTCCACTGTAAATTTACTAATACCCTCTCCCCCTGCCACCTTCATGCCTTGCTCTGGGAGAGGAAGGAGGTCACTATGAGCAGCTTACACTTACGGTGTAGAATTTTGTCTGCCTCTTAGAACAAGGAGAGCATCCTCACTGATTATTTAAAATCCTTCCTCATAGATAATTGTCTACCCTCTCACATGTATTTATCCAATCATTATTTACAGCATTGTGTACTTGTGGGTTAATTATAATTTGGAAGCAGGAGTGCATCCATTTGTTAAACAACATGCCTCTGGAAACTATGAACTTTGATCAGTTTTGATAGTCGTAGAGGGGCTTCAGGCCTTTTGTTCACATGGCCACTATGAGTCATGCTTGACTCGAAGGCACTAAAAAACAATAACAACAATATTGCCTTAAATCCAGCCTGAACTTCTGGCATTGTTCTGGCTGTTTTTTAATAATCTTCAGAATTTTGTTTGCCTGTGATACTAAGAAGAGTATATGAAAAAAAAAAAAAGAGAAGAGTATTTGATTTTTCTCATTCTGTTGGAGCATCTTTCTTGGGAATGGGAACGAATATAAATCTCTTAAAGTCTGTTAACCAGGCAGCTATCTGCCAAATTTCCTATCATAGACTAGTGAGCACTGCCAGGGCTTCATGAAACTGAGGAGGACCTGAGGCATTTGCTGCAGCAGGTCAAGGACTGCAGCCTTGAATATGCAGCCTTCACCCTCAAGAAAACAGATTCTCACCACTGGGCCAATTGGCAGCACCATGATGGATGGTGAAGAGATTGAGATTGTTGACAGCTTCAGTTTGCTTGGCTCCCCAATCAACAGTCTTGGAACCAGAAGCCAGGAAATTAAAAGACAAGTTGCACTGGGAAAGTCAAAGTACTGAAGAGCAATAATGTCAGTCTGGAGACTAAGGTGTGCCT